AACACGCGCAAGAAATTCGATTATATTTAAAACTAAACGTGCATTCGAAGAATGAAATCCAATAATTTAACCTGAAGCAGACCTCGACTGAGGCCGAAAACGTTTGTTTTACAAATAATTTACAAGTACCGGACAATAAAGGTTGAGTAAGTACGATTTTTATAAGAATACCGGTATTCGGATTAGAAGATTTTTAATCATAAAGCTGATATCACTCATAACAAATCTACAACAGCATTATCTACATATGCAACAAACCCAGACATAACCCTGATTGTTAATGAGGCACGGGTTATCCACACCACTTGTCATCACGAACATCTAAGAACTTTGGAAGCGATGGAGATTTACAAAGCAGATCGCAAATTAACCTGCATCAATTTTAAAGAAGAAACGAAATCTCTAAACAGCATGGCAGTATTTATCAGATGATAAATCGTAAATTGTTATATGATACACAAGATTATTATAGGATGCGCACATCGTATCTCCACTACTAAAAATTATAAAAAATTATATTTTGAAATGGCACGTGATCACATGATTGCCTTCCTTATTTGAACTATTAGAAATGGAGTATGTTCTTATTTAAAAACATTTGATTTAAGAATCCAGTTACAGTAAATTTGGCCTGAAGAAGAGCTCACAAGGGGCATCGAAAGCGTTTGCCAATCTTTGTTTGGAGTTTTCACGCCATATATTGGTTACAGAGTATACATATTTTTGTTTTAATCACCCATACATCTATAGATAAGCCATTAGATAAGATTTGTTTTACTAAACCCTATAGTAGTTGTGCAACTTCTGTGAGATGCCACATAACTCCTTTTTAAACATTTTTTACATAAAAATTTGAAAAATGTGAAAAAATTTCTACCTTCCAAACTTTTCAAACTAAAGGACATGCACGATAAACTTTCTGCACTGCACAAATATTTTTTGAATCATACAGTGGTTCACCTTGAAATATTTTGTGAAATGACACATAGCTAAACAACAAAGGTCATTCTAAAAGTAAAGAACGTTTGTTTCTCTAGATAAATAAAATACTTTCGTACTGGAACTACACTATAAATAAAAATCAAAACCTTTAAACAATCCAGCAAATCATTTTTTAATATCTTAAAAACGCTTTCAAACACTAAGCGATCATCCTCAGCTATCATTCTGAATTGAACGAACAATTCGAAATTATGTAAAACAAAAATTCAAAAAGCGGTCACATAAATATACGTTAACATTTACCAAGCTTAAATAATTGCAAAAATTATACAAGATAATTAAAACGAAATAAAGAAATAAAATAAAATATATAAATCCAGTAAAAAATTATCTTAATTAACCTTCCCGCTTACATAAACTATGTCAACTCATCGTAGANTAATTAAAACGAAATAAAGAAATAAAATAAAATATATAAATCCAGTAAAAAATTATCTTAATTAACCTTCCCGCTTACATAAACTATGTCAACTCATCGTAGAAGGATTTCCATACCGATGACAATCCGTCAGCATCCCTATGATTAATGCAGTTTGTGTGCAACTGCGTCTTGTGAATTTCTACTTTTTCCAGATGTTTCACGGCCTGCCTGGATCTTGTAGCCTTGATGATCAACGTCCGATCCCAAAAGACCTCAATATTCTGCTGCTTGGCAAAGGCAGCAAGTACCGTAGAGTCTATGTTTTTATACACTGAGTGCTTATGTTCAGCAATTCTTTTCTTTAAGTTTCTCATGGTTGCTCCTATGTATACCAGATTAGAGTTAAATCTACGGTCTTTTAACAATATAGAGTATACTCTTGTCATCGTGTTGCGTTCGTAACTGCCTTTATTGTTCCTTAAGAGCCTGTATACGGTGGGAATACACTTGTAAACTATCTGTGTATTCTTATTTCTGGTAACTTTCTTAACCATTCCTTTGAGGAACAATATGTAATTGAGCATGACTCTTTATGCTGATTCCCTCCGAGATAAGTTTTGGGATTGGGCATTGATCATCAAGGCTGCAAGATCCGGGCAGGTCGTGAAACATCTGGAAAAAGTAGAAATTCACAAGACGCAGTTGCACACAAACTGCATTAATCATAGGGATGCTGACGGATTGTCATCGGCATGGAAATCCTTCTACGATGAGTTGACATAGTTTATGTAAGCGGGAAGGTTAATTAAGATATTTTTTTACTGGATGTATATATTTTATTTTATTACTTTATTTCGTTTCAATTATCTTGTATAATTTTTGCAATTATTTAAGCTTGGTAAATGTTAACGTATATTTATGTGACCGCTTTTTGAATTTTTGTTTTACGTAATTTCGAATTGTTCGTTCGATTCAGAATGATAGCTGAGGTTGATCGCTTAGTGTTTGAAAGCGTTTTTAAGATATTAAAAAATGATTTGCTGGATTGTTTAAAGGTTTTGATTTTTATTTATAGTTTCTCTAGATATTTTTATTTAAGATAATGAAACAAAACTTATTTTACAACACCTATGATACCTTAGCTTATTTTGCTACGAAGTCACCATGCAAATTTAAACATTTGTCATAGCGTATCACCAGCTTTTCTATGCCTTCTGCACACTCAGTTACCGCCAAGTTCTTGAACCAGTCATTAACAGCCTCTTTCAGTTCGTTGTCACTTCCATAGTGATTCCTAACTAAATAATCCTTCAATTTTGGAAAAAAATGATAATCACTCAGAGCCTAGTCCAGGCTATAAGAAGGATGTTCAAAACTTCCACTTAAACTGCTGAAGCAAGTTCTTCGTCAATGCAGAAGCATGCGGACATGCGTTATCCTGAAGAAGCACAATGCCTCTGGACAACAATCCTTGCCGTTTGTTTCGAACTGAAGCTTCATTCATCACATCACCATAAACCTCGGTTATATGCCTGTAAATTTCAATAGAGCAGACTTTTTTCGCATTCAAAAAGCACATTACACTATGAACCTCACATTTGGCAGGATCTTTAATTTTGTCATACATTTCAAAGTCACACTATAAACAGTAAACGATCATTGCGGATCACTGTTAGCATCAGACTGATGCGAAAAAATGGGAAGGTCCATGACGCAACAGGAGGTGGTGGGAGAACTGCACGGCTTGTCATATCAAAACATTCTTTTATTTTAGAATGACCCTCGTAGTATGAAAAAAAATCACAGGAAAATTACATAGGCATAACTCCTGTGAGTTTGCACATAATGAGTGTGATTCAACATAATTGCAATTTAAAATTAATATATCTTTACAAAAATACCATTCTGATATTCTCTGCGCTTTCTTCAAATCTGTATCACAAAAACCAATTCTAATTCATTGCAAATGGACTGCTGCATTTGCTTGAAACAAGGCATCTTCTCACACATTGCACTGTCACATGCAACACAGCATGACAAAAATATAAAAATCAATTTTGATAATACAAACTGTGCAACTTGTAAAATTTTCATTTCATAACAATTTTATTCAGGCATTGTTGCAAATGAATTTATTTTATAAAATTTTAAGAATTTTTAAATTATAGCAATTTACACATTTGATGTCAAGTCATAAATTGCCAAATTTTTCATGGTCCACAATTATTAATTTGATTGCTTCACTTCTCGTGGAAAAAACATTTCTGGTTAAACAATTGACTTTTCTTTTGATACTATCTGTAATATTTTGAGCAATGTTAAATTTTTGAATTAAGATATTTTTGATAACTGCATGACTATATTACATAAAAAAATAAATAATTTAAAGTAATCAGATCTGACAAAATGAATTGTTAAATGTTAAAGACAACATTCTTCTGAGTACTATAAAACAACAACACTGTATTTGACCAACTTCTAACCAGGAAGAGAGCTTTTGTTTAGAGGAGAATAAAACAATTAACTATTTGTTGACATTAGTATTGAGAGTCATCACAGCTCTACTGTCAACCCTCAGTAAAGTAATAAAGTTTTACTACTCTGATGTGGATAAAATACAATTCCATATCCATTGAAACCTAGCATCAATTCGTGAAACTTGAGATAATTTACAGCAAACAGAAAGTTAATGTGTTTATATTTTTGCTTTTTTTGGATAAATTTATAATAAAATAAACCAAAAAAATGCATTTTTGACAATCCATGAGTATTTTACATTGTTAGAAAGAAGACAATATGAAGAAATTAAAGATATAATTATAGTTTCTATTGCAATGCTGATAATTTTACAATTTTGGAATAATTACTGGCATCTGTAAGACGTCATGTGACTCAACTAAGATAGTTGACCTTGCACACAACTACTTCAGGTAAAAATACAAAATATAATTAAAAATAATTTTTTCTTTCTTCCTTTTCTCTAGCAAATATAGTTTTAGCCTGTCATTTTAATATTAATTTATTCTGGCAATAAAAATGTTTAGTGTTCTTTCACATGTGTCATTTGAAGTGGCAAATTTTTCTTCTGTAAAAACCAACACCTTCTGAACTATTACCCATAAATTTTCTTTCAATCAGAAGAGAAATCTATTTTTCATTTTCTAAAGTACATTCATTAAATTTAATAATTAAAAACTTTTATAATTAGTATTAAAAAATTGAAACATATTTTGGACATTTTTATTTGACATTTTTTTATTTTTCCCTATTTTTATTGACATATTAACAAGAAGAATGTTAACTAAGTTAGGTAGTGCTACAATTGATTGGAAATGAAATATTTCCAGTTATGTAGGATATTTGCTATCTATATACTTATTATCTGCATCTCCTCCTTCAGTCCACAAACAAGCTATTCATGCTAGTTTTGCATAAATGTTGTGTTATTATAAAGTGCTTTTATGTAACTTCACTCAGTTTAAAAAACTTTTAAATATAGTTTTTAGAATTAAGAAAAACAGATAATATAATTTTTTAAAAAACCAACTAGAAGATTAAACAAATCTTTAATTATTATAAATCAAATAAAAACCAGATAAAGCATGACAAACTAACATTAAAAAATAACCATGTAACTCCAGCAAATTTATATATTTTCAATGTTTTTGACCACCTGTAAAAGTCTTCCTTGTAAATAAATATAACAATCACGACAAATACAATTATTATTTAAAAAATGTATATTGTCATACCTTTGCAGGTGATGTTGTGATAATATTTGACGTTTGTATATTGGAAGAAATGGACCTAATTGGACACTTTTCCATTGAAACATTTTCTTGAGTGTTTTCAACATCTTTGCTATCACCATTAACTAAAGTTTCCTCTGTAGATTTCTGTGTAACTGTATTTTCAGCTGTATCACTTTCACGAGAAGATTCACTAACACTTAATACAGTTTCAGTTGTACTGGATCCAAAAGAATTGCTATCTTGTTGATTTTGAACATTTCCTTGATAATGATTTCCACTGATTCCTTGTGGAGGAGAAGGCTTAAAACCAGATGGAAGTTTCACGTATAAAACTGAAAATAAAATATAAATTGTGAAAAAATTGTTTTATTATTATTTATTTATAAAAAAATTTTAATTTGATAACTATTCTGAAAAAAAAAAGTGTTTTAAAATCAAAGGCATTAGATAATTTATATTTTCACAATAAAACTATCCATTCGCTAAAATTTGTTTATATGTTTATTTTATTAAAAAATTTATCTATAATCTAATAATATATATTTTTATTCTACACTTCAATTTTCCTAATTATTCTTCAAAAATTATTATAATACTAAATTAATTCAAAAAATTATTATTAATTCAAAAATGTACAATATTGAAAACTACATACAAACTAATTTCTGAAATCTTCTGGACTAATGGAATCAACCTTTCTTTACATGTCTCTCTCTGCCTATACTTATGCAAATTGTTTAAAAGTGACATCAGATGTTTGTAAGTATTTTTGTCAAATAAAGATTAAAATATTACAAATATCTGACATCATGAAAATTTTTAAACAATTTGCATTAGTAAAGGCAGAGAAAAGCATATAAAGAAATGTCAACTCTGCCAGCATTAACTGAGTACTTGTGATTGTGAATGGACATGTAGAAGACTCCAAAAATTTTTTCTGGTATTTAGTCTTCAATATAGTGATTGTTTTAAATATATTTTATATTGGATTTTTTAATCTCTAACATTACTTTATTAATTTCCATCTAGTAATGATAAATTTTCTGATTTGTTTTGCAGAGTGCAAAATCATCATTCTTTCTTCAACATATGTAAATAATATTTGCAATCCAATTCATTTGGTTTGTTTGTAAAATAAGGTATAAGAGATAATACTGAAATATTCTAAATATAAACAAATTTTGTGACATAATATATAAATTTTATATAATGAATAAAGGGGAATTTACTTCAAAGGTCATTAATGACATCAGTTGCTATATGTTACTGCATACCAATTTAGAAATAAAACTCTGTTCCATAAACAACAGCTTATTACCTTATTTTTGAAACTACATAAATTTTATTATTATGTATTAATTTCAAACAAACTACTGTTATTTTAAGAAAAATTTGTGATATTCTGTGCAAAATGCTGAGTTTTACAGAAAATGTTAAAAAATTCTAAAATACATTTAATTTGCAATAAATTTATTAAATTTAATAATAAAATTTCCTTTATGAAAAATTTTTGAATTAATCTTTTTTAAGAAAAGTTCAATATGTAAGAATGGCAATGCTCAGAACTTTGCTAAAAACAATATCATCTCTGATGCAATATATGCTGTGCTTCCCACTAGCAGTTTGGTCTATGTAAATTAATCAAATCCCTTAATTTAATAATAGCTAACATTTGTGGATAATAATAATAATACAATAAGATCCCACTTAATGTAGGGGATGCATTCCTAGATGACAAAGTGCTAAATGAAACAGCATTAAACAAGGCTATTTTAACATAGAGTTAATAGGGATAGGGAAATGTGAGCCACCAGGGAGGTTGGGAAGTCCTCTCGTTCCGGCCACAGGTCAGTGACCTACTTTCTTGTCAAGGATGGCGTTTCGTTCTGTTACGTGTTATGTGAGAGTTGGAGGAGTCGACAATAAGACGTTGGCTAAGTCGAGTAACGACACCATTTAAAACAAAACAACAGTTTATTTAACGCGCTAACTAATTAAAAACTTACAAAACTCCTTAGACTTCACAGATAAGAGAGAGAGTTTACAATAATATTTCATACCTCTGGGATAATTTCAGCTTTAATTTCTGAAAGGCGGTACGAGGTGGGGCCAAGGTCTTCCAATTGATGTCGTATAGCAGGTCTAAGGGAAGTTAGTGTCCGTCTTGGTCGTTCGATTGGCGACTCCCCCAAGAGGGGAAGAAGGATGGCTTTTATACTTTTTGTGGTGGGAAAATTAGTCAGGTGATCAATTGTTTTAGCAGGTGTGGGGTTAAAGGTGGTGCTAGAATGGCAACAATATGACAAATTTTGCCTTTAAGTGTAAACTATGCATGGTTTGATCGTGAGAATGTTTATAGTTAAACAGAAAGAGTTATAAATTTCTCATGCACTTTATATTTCGTTTTTGTAGGTCCAAATTCCTTTAGTTAAAGGAATTTATTATAAATTTAAAGGATTAACTTCTTTTATGAAAGTATATGAACTTCGAATTTCACAGAAACATGCAACCGAAAATAAAAAATTTTACTTTAATTTTAAGTTATTTTTATATATTAATTTGCATAATAATATATGTTAAATAACACAAACATATGCATACAGAAATGTATGATAATATATTAATTAGTTCATTTTTCTATATTAATACGGTGTACCTCAAGTTACGTTGTTCTCGATTATACGTTGTTTGTCAAAAAATATATGGAAAAATAAAAATCAAGTTATATCACGTATAGTTGAATAAAATGACTTAACTATACGTCCATCCGCCACAAATATTGTAGTCGTAATATCTCTAGAAAAGCGTTAAAGCACATAAAATCGTATTAAAATATGTACATTTACAGTAAATGTTAATATAAATTTTAGAGAACGAAACATAAAAACATCTGTGTTTCTGTGTTGTCGTCTTATTCAGAGGTCTTTAAGTGCTCAATATTGGTGTTTTCCACAGTAGTTCCAATATCTACCGTTTGGCGTCATTGTCAACACCACTCGATATTGGTAAATTTAATATAAATTAGTTTATTTTCTACTGTCGCAAGATAATTTTAATAACTGTATTTGTTATTTAACCTTACAAAATCATCTTATTTTATAATGTCTTAGAGCAAACCACATTCACAAATAGAGTCCAGTCCAAACCACATTCACAAAAATACAGTATATACTTGTAAACATGTACATTTACAAATATGTACTGTACGTACATGAATTCATAAATTTAGATTACTTTTTTCTGTACCATATTAAAAACTAAAATTTATTTGCTTGTAAGCTTAAAATAGATTCTTATTAACCACATATTATTAAAAATACATTTATAAATAAAATACAGAACTGGAAACGGTTGTTTGTGGTTTAGCCTAGTGACGAGTAAATTTGGAGACAAATAAATTCAACTTATGTCATTTTTTGACTTAAGTCGCATATCCTGGAACCAATTTCTGATGTAAGGCGAGGTATAACTGTAGTTCATTTTTTGTAATTAAGGTCCTGACTTTTCTGAAATTCTTGTTTTTCTGCAATAAAGTCGTGAAGTTTCATTTGCCGCTTTTTTCTTTCCTTAAGCAAATGTTGGTAGTGGAAAATTGCATCCAAAACGCCTCGTTTTCCTTTTGCACTCCTTTCAAAATCTAGATCATTCTACTATAATTTGATCAATAATTTCAGTAAATCTTTACCCCGTGTTGGAGGATGTTAGGCTTCCAATCTGCCTTCTCTTACCTATGAGCAACACCTGGCCCTGCCAAGAAAGTGACTTACTTCAGAACAATGACATATTTCTGACACCTCATCCATAGTTACTTCCAGCGAACTCCAATTAACTAGGGTTTTGTTTTACAAGTTAACTCACCATCTTCAGTCTCTGCTTGTACAGTACATATGTACTGTAAATATTTTGTAATTAAGGTTCTTATTCCTATTCACTTTTATTGTATAATTCAACTTATGTAACGATGTACATAGTCTTCTTCATGTCTGTCTTACTTTATCACTGGTCATCAACAACAGCCTAATGTACAGTCACTCTTTTACTTTTTTTTATACTTTATTTTATTTACCATTTTTATTATTTATAATTGTTTTAGTTATTTGTCGAAACCGTGTCTTCTTTTTCTTGTTTCTTCTAATTCTATGTCACTACTTGGTGCATTTATCGACACTTGGCAAATAATTCCATCATCTACTTTTAATTCATGCAGAAACGCGTTTCGGGCTTCCGCCCCTCTTCAGTCTGTTACATTGATAGTATACGGTATCAGTCTGGGATTTTCCGTACTTCCCGCTCCCTTCCCCTCTCATCTTCTCCTGACTTGATGGCCTTCCCCGCATGCCTCGTAATTTGTAACTTCACCCCTCCCCGAGTGTTGCGTACAGCCTCTCCTGCGACTGTATAAACATTCTGTTTTAATAATTGTAGCCAGTTTTTATGGATGTCAATGCTTAGGTTCTTGTTAATATTATTTTTGTCTATAGTAATTTCGTAGCTTTCCTTGAATTTTCTTTTGTACCAATTTTTTTCTTTGTGTACTATTATTGCATCATTCTTGTCTATTTTGCAGTTGTGGGTCGTGCAATGTTCGTAAAAAACAGAGTTGATTCTATTATACTTCAGGTCTGCGATGTGTTCTTTTAATCTTGTTTCTAATTTTCTTTTTGTTTCACCGATGTATACTTTTGGGGGTTTGCATGTGCAAGGTATTTTATAGACGACTTCGGTAGTGTTATATTTGTCTGGTTGTTTATTTCTGTCAGGTATAGTCTTCCGGATTATTTTTTGCAAGTTGTTATAGGTTGGGGCTAGCTTTATATTTATTTTTTCAAAACTTTTGTTTACCTGTTCAAAGAAGCCACGGATGTATGGGAAGGGTATGTATCTTACTGTGTTTCCTTCGTTTTGTTTATTTTCCAGCTTTTTGTTGTTAATTTTCCTTTCCCAGTTGTTTAGCATTCGTTTTGGATAGCCGTTTAATAGGAATTTTGTTCGCAGTTCGTTGAGGTGTTTTTCCTTCGTCTGTAGTGAGCTTGTACTGTTCTCGATCTTTTTATATTCCATGATGAATATGTTTTCTTTTATGTACTGCGGAATGTTTGAGTTGTAGTTTAACACTTTCCTGATCTCGCATGGTTTTGTGTATGGCTCGAATTCAATCCTGTTTGCTTTCCTGATTATTTTTATGTCGAGGTAATTTATTTCTGTGTTTGCCTCATTTTCTACCTTGAATTTGATGTTATCGTTTAATTTGTTTATTTTTTCTTCTATATCTTCTAATTTTGTTAATTCTTGGTCGTATAGTATAATTATGTCATCCACATATCGCTTATAGAACTTTATACCTGTAAACTTTTTGATTACTTGGTCTATATCTTGGTCTATATTACTTGGTCTATCTACCTATTTATAATTGCTCAATGTTTCCCTTTATTTGTATCCCACTATACTTTGTAAACATATTTTCTAATATAAAATTTAACTTTTTATATTTTCTGTATAACCACCCGGCTGTGCCTGTGCAGTGCCGGTTGGTACTATATTTTAGTACTAATAAAGATTATTGATTGATTGGTTGGTAAATCTTTTCCAAACTTTTACTAAAAAAATCTGTAGAGAAATTTTTTAGGTTCTTCATTTTCAGAATCACTATTTTTCGGTTCTACACAGATTCCATGTTCTGCCAGTTCTCGAAGGTCGTCGTTGGTAAGGCTCTCACCAGAAACCGGCTGTAACTCCTCAATATCTTGCTCGTCTAAATCTCCCAGCCCTGCTGTATTGATTAGGTTGAGTTTGATCAACCTAACAATACAGCAATAGGCTCTTCTCGTTGAGAATTCTTGGATACCTTCAGCCATAACTTCTTCCACACTTCGTTTGTGCATTTGTTGGTTAATTCTTGCCAAACCAAGCTGATATTGCCTATGGCATCCATAATGTTATATTTTTTTCCAAAATTGCACCAAACAAACATAGATTTAAAGAAAGTACACCTTTTTGCCACCTTTTGCTGATTGGTTCGTGTTCGTAAATAATCGTATTATGTACAAATTAATAAAATGCCGCAATAATTTAAATCAGAGTAAATTTTGAGCTTTTTTAAAGACTTCGAGCAGACGGTGTTATATCAAACCAGCGTTAAGTAAGGCAGCCTTAAGTGGGGTCTTACTGTATATACAGGGTGTCTCAGAACATTTCAGAACTTCTAAGAGGGGTAGAGTACATCTTGATGACTCGGAATCATATAGCAATGTGGGGTCAGAAATGCTTTCCTGATGCAGTAGATGGTGTTGCATGAAAGTTCCGAGCGTTCTTGCAGGGAATCGCCATTTCACACAAGGACACAGAGTTAGCCGATATGCATTTGGTGTACGGGCCTGCAGATTGTAGCGGACCAGCCTCACAGCACTTGTACACAGAACGATATCCGATGAGGCATATTTCCAGCCATAATTTCTTTGCAAGCCTGCACCAGAGGTTAGCTGTTTCTGTGTACATCACCGCTTCAGGAAAGCATTTCCGGCCCTGCATTGCTATATGATTCTGAAATGTTTAACTAAGACACTCTGTATAACAAAGTTTACTGTTAGTCTACTGCATTGTTTTTTCATACAACTAAGTTTTAAAACACCTTTCACTCTTTTTTCTAACAATTTCTTTAATTAATTAAATAAATAAGAGAACAAATGCTTTTGACTATTTTAAATAGCCTTCTTCAGGTTCTACAACATTGGAATGTCAGTTAACACAAATTTGAAATTCATTTTCGTTCTTATGACATCGTCTTTACAATTTTTTTTTTAAATTACAAATAAGGTTGTAGAACCTGAAGAAGGCCATTTAAAATAGCTGAAAGCATTTGTGCTCTTATTTATTTAATTAATTAAAAAAGTAATGCTAATTACGATAAGCACTTACGTATCTACTTTAAAATATTAAAATTATATATATATATGAATATTCAAATTTTCAAATTGTAGACATATATTGATACATTTCCACGTCACTTTCAGACACACCGGAAGTTCGTATATAGTTAATCGAAACTTCCGGCCCTAAGTTTTCCATATCTGGTCTCGGTTTTCACCAATCAAACACCGTTCTGTTTTTAACGAAGAACAGATCGACAGACAAGACAATGGGAATGCATATTTCTACAATNGTTGTAGAACCTGAAGAAGGCCATTTAAAATAGCTGAAAGCATTTGTGCTCTTATTTATTTAATTAATTAAAGAAATTGCTAGAAAAAAAGAGTGAAAGGTGTTTTAAAACAGTTACAAAAGTTCTAGCTTTCTATGCATAGAATTTTTCATAAAATTTTACTCCTAAACTATTCTTATTTATATAAGTATATTTTGTACAGACCTCCTTTTCTTTCTTTAATTATTTGTTCTTGTGAAGTAGTATGTCCTGATTCAATATCAGAATCTTCATTTCCTGTATCCATTCCTGTATCATCTTCTTCCACTTCCATTCTAACTGCACCCTCAGGAATATCACTCTAAAAATTCAAATTAAATAAACAAACTTAAATAAACCAAGATATTATTTAATGTTTAAAAATAAACTTTTTGTATTATTTTTATACATTTTATTAAGGCATTCAGGTAAATTATGTATAATTTACAGGTAAATTAAATAAAACAACAATTTTCTAATCTGTGAAACTGAGTTGCAGTATCCTTAAAGCCAGTTTAATAAGTCCTGTTAATAAATATGTACTAGTGAACGAAATAAGATTATAATAAATTAGGACATTGAGGCATATTAATTCTATTATTCATTCTATTTTAGATGTGGTTTTTTTTTGTGTTTTTGATTGAATTTTAATAGAGTTCATCAAGAGAATGTACACTAAGAAGAGATTTTTCAAAATTCCTTCCCGTGGGGCATGTTATATGTTTATAATAGATACATTTTGAGCCACAGCAACACGTGGCCGGGTACAGCTAGTCAAAAATAAAAACTAAAGAGTAGATCTATATCCTATTTCCATTTACAAGTAAGCATTAAATAGTTTTGACATACAACTTCCAGTTAAATAGAATGTTTTCTATTTTCTTTTAATTTCTCTTTGCAAAAATATAATAAAAGGATATAGTATGTCAAATGAGAGAAAAATCAAAATAGAATATCAATGGAATAAAAATACATAAGTAAATTAGTAAACAAATATGAAAATAAATAATTCTATAGTACAAAAATGTAATTCATCTTTCCTGCAAAAATAAAAATTAAAAAATGATAAAATAAAAAAATATTTTAAAAACTTCAATTTGAACCCGGAACAGCCACAGTATGCAGATCTGCGGACTCTGGCCGCGGCACCTGGACAGCTAGAAGCCCACGGACTACCTGTTGAGAAACGCGGCCCTAGTGTTAGTAGTTGTCATCTTAACCGCCCGGCCACCGGTCATCCCTTCACAATATTATGGATCAGATGATGAAATTGAAAGTGGAGAACAAACTGAAAAAAGAAAGCGAAAAATCATAAAGAAAGTTCTGAAAGAAGCAAAGGAACGAGAAAAGAAATTTAAAGAATATAAATTATTAGAAGTAAATGCTGATGTGTCTTCAGATACTGAAAATATACCTAATAAGAAAATTAAATATGATGATTCATCTGTAAATGGCGTAAAATCTGAATTAACGACAGAAACATTTGATGGTGATGAAAGTCGTGATTCTGACAATTCATCTGTACAAGCACAAACAGTAGAATCAAAAACAGCTGTAAAATTGTCAAAAAAGAAAAGGAAATTGTTAAGGAAACAGGAGAATGCAGCAAAAGAATACACTGTTATTGGCGAAGACGTGTCTCGTAAAAAGCATCAAGTTCAACGTGTTCTACCCGATTGGCTTGCTAATCCAATTACTGTGGATTTGGATTTACATAAGAAAGAAATTCCAGTTGAAGAATATGATAATCTTGATAAATCTATTCTTAAAGATTTAAAAACTTTTAAAATTTCACATTTTTTTCCAATTCAACAAGTTGTGATACCAGAACTTATAAATTCAAATTATAAAAGATGGTATTGTCGACCCGAAGACATCTGCGTATCTGCTCCAACTGGAAGTGGAAAAACTTTGGCTTTCGTCATACCGATTGTTATGGCTTTAAAAGATCGAGTTGTTACGGCAGTAAGATGTTTAGCCGTGTTGCCTGTACGAGATTTAGCCGAACAAGTTTTTAAAGTTTTTTATAATTACTGTCAAAATACTACATTGACGGTAGCAAAACTGACAGGAAGCAAAACATTTGCCGAAGAACAAAAAAGTCTTGTTAAAAAAGGAATTCGTGGATTTCATAGTTTAGCTGATATTGTTGTAGCTACTCCAGGTCGACTTATCGATCATCTACATAGCACAGATGGTTTCTCTTTGTCTCACTTACAGTTTCTTGTTATTGACGAAGCAGATCGAATGATGGAAGAAATTCATCAAGGATGGTTGAACGAAGTAGAGAAAGCCATATATGGAGAAAATGCTCAAAAGATCAATGGTTGCTGCTGTCAAGAGCAATTGTATTCAAAAGTTAATTGTTCTTATTTGACACCTTGCGTCCACGGACACATGTCTGATCCACTGCAAAAACTTCTTTATTCGGCCACATTGTCGGAAGATTCTGATAAAATTCAACAACTTTCCCTCTTTTGTCCAAAACTTTTCACTAGTACTATTGATCCAAAGTTAATTAAAGTATCAAAATATAAGAAAAATGACAAGTCTATCAATAAAATTACAAATGAACCCACTATAAAATATGTCACTCCAGCAGAGTTGACAGAATATTTTGTTGTTTGTAATCCAACCTTGAAACCCTTAGTGGCATGGTATCTTGTCGTATTGAGAAATTATAAAAAAGTTTTATGTTTTACAAAATCTGTCGAGAGTTCTCATAGATTACATTTGGTTTTAAAGAGAATGGGTAAATTGACAGTAGAAGGGTTTTCTTCTAAAGTGCCAAACTCTCAAAGAAAAGAGAATTTAAAGAAATTCATTTCAGGAAAAGTAACAGTTTTAGTTTGTTCTGATGCCATGGCACGAGGAATGGATGTCAAAGATGTGGACTGTGTGATTCTTTACGATGTTCCATTGCATCTTAGGACGTACATTCATCGTGTTGGCAGAACTGCTAGAGCTGGTAAAGAAGGAGTTGCCATTACTTTGATGGAAGCCGGAGAGAAAAGAGATTTTTTGTTAATGATGAAATCAGTTCCGGGACAAAAGTTATCCGAACTTAACGTGTTACAAGAAGAACTAGAGACGTTTAAAGAAAAATACGAAGTTGCCATAAAAGAAATGGCACATCACTTGACAAATGAACAACAGAAAAAGTCTCATTCAAAACACTTAAATAAAAAAAAAAATAAATATGTTAAAAAATAGTGATAAATATAAATAATAATATAACATATATTGATAATAAAATCTATTTGATTCTGGGCCAACACTTAACCATTATACCAGTGGCTCTTATATAGTAAGTTTGTACTGTAGCATATAAATTCAATATAGTATATCCGAAACTGGGTTTGTATAAATACACCACGCACAAAACCAACAGCAATATGAAAAGAAAAATTTACTAACGTTTTCATCTACATGAAACAGACATCATCAAGTACAAACGATATAGAAGAAAATGGCTAACAAAAATCTAATGTTTTTTTAAATGTTCAAATTGATTACATCATTAGAATATTAATTTCACATAATATTTAATGTGAAATTAATTGATTATTTATTTGTTTATTGTTTAAATAATATGCATATTTTGAAATTATATCCCGAACATAACATATAAATTTTAACGCAATGTATTCTAATTACATAATCAAGTAGAACATTTAAAAAACATTCAATGTTTGTTAGCCATTTTGTTCTATATTGTTTGTACCTGATGATGTCTGTTTCATATAGATGAAAACGTTAGTAAATTTTTCTTTTCATATTGCTAGTGTTGGTTTTGTGCGTGGTGTATTTAACTCAATAACTTAAAAAAAAAATTTTTTTTTAATTGCTTATAATCAAGAATCTTTGATTATTTTGTATAAGTTTGATGTTACATAAACTTTTATTTTAAACATGACATATTTAAAAGTCAGACAGTCATTTTATGTACTTCCTTGTCAATTTACTATTCATATTCAAAAATGTATCTGGAACACAAAAACAAAACACAGTTAACTGATCCTTAGGCCATCCTGTGCTCAAATTCATGAATGCCTCACAATAAACAGCCTAGTGTCTCTCTAATATTGTAAATTTACCAGAAATCTATTGATATTTTACATTTTGTATTCACAAATCATGTCTTAGCACTTACAACAAAATGACTACAAAATTGGTAATGACATCACTAGTGACTGCTTCCATTTTAATAAAGCCAATTTAGGAAGAATTTGTTAGTGACATTTTTCAGAATTTTCTCACATCCTGTGCTTGTCATATGTGAGGAATATTATATTTTATTTTGTTAGTATTAAAATGAGTAGGGATTACTCTTAGATAAATTATATATACATGTCACAGCCAGATTATTAATTTAGCCACTTTACAGAGCATCTAGCCATTTGATTAAATGTTGCTGTTTTATAACAAAGCTAACTAATGTTCAGCCACTTTACAAAAACGCTAAACCAAATCTGCCAGATTGAATGACATGTTACATTCTACAATATGGCTGGTCAAATGCTTTACAATGTGGCATTAGATAAACTACCAGATTGTCATATTTACTTTCGATTCTTACCACTTGAGAAGAAAAGAGGCATTCACCAATATGGTGTCATCTATATGTCTGTTCTGCCAGTACAGTAGAGCATCGATTATCAGAATACTGATTAACCGAAACACTAGTTAACTGAAAGCAATCCAGTCAGCAAATTCAAATTTCCGCTAGTGTTGTGGCGCTGCAATATTTGGCTGTCTTGGGCTACTCCAATATTATTTTAGTTGGTGTGTGTGTTTTAGCTGGCAGCACTGGTGCGACCATATTGTATCGTTAAAAATTATTTCTTTATTTTTGCACAAACAAAATAAATATATTGAAAAATATAAAAACAAAAAAAAATTATATTTCGGAAGTTAATCTAGTATCAAAAACGTTCTGATTGAGCGCAACACATGTCGAGAGAGTAGTTAAGGACATGCCAGTATTTGAAGGAGGCTTTTGTGAGTGGTGTGTTTTGTTTCAGTTCGTCAGAGAATATAGCCCAAGCAGCTGACATCTCCAGATAAATTCAAGAAAAAGAAAGAGTTTTGTTTGTTTTGTGTTGTGTTTTTCTGAGAACTGTGTCAGGACACGTGTTGTGCTGAATCGAATGTTTTTGATACTAGATTAACTGCAAAAATATAATTTTTGTTTTTGTTTTTATATTTTTCAATATATTTATTTTGTTCATGCAAAATAAAGAAATAATTTTTAATGACACAATATGGTCGCGACAGTGAAATGCTTTTGGTTAACCGATGTTTTGGTTGATCAGTATTCAG